AGGGGGGGCCCTAGAATAATGTCTAGAGATTTGAGGCTTTAAATCTTTATTCATTTTCTTTGCCTTTTGATTTGCTTTACTCACCCTCTATTCCTTATTTACGTTTCCTAAGCTCTTTAGTTGTGAAGCTTTCCAAAAGTCAGTGCGCACTTTCTTTATAAAATCACTTTAATTAAAAGTATTGAAAAACAAAAAAATCATTCAAGCAAAGGGGGTAGTCCAGCAAGCAGCTTTCTGACATTATTTAGGGGGGGCCCCTAGAATGTCTAGAGATTTGAGGCTTTAAATCTTTATTCCTTTTCTTTGCCTTTTGATTTGCTTTACTCACCCTCTATTCCTTATTTACTTTTCCTAAGCTCTTTAGTTGTGAAGCTTTCCAAAAGTTTCCAAAAGTCAGTGCGCACTTTCTTTATAAAATCCCTTATTTAAAAGTATTGAAAAACAAAAAATCATTCAAGCAAAGGGGGTAGTCCAGCAAGCAGCTTTCTGACATTATTTAGGGGGGGGCCCCTGGAATAATGTCTAGAGATTTGAGGCTTTAAATCTTTATTCCTTTTCTTTGCCTGTTGATTTGCTTTACTCACCCTGTATTCCTTATTTACTTTTCCTAAGCTCTTTAGTTGTGAAGCTTTCCAAAAGTTTCCAAAAGTCAGTGCGCACTTTCTTTATAAAATCCCTTATTTCCATTGAGATTGGATGCCTTTTGATGGAGATTTCCATTAAACATTTGAAGATTTCCATTGAGATTTGATGCTTTTGGAGGCTTTTGGATGGAGATGTCTATTGAAAATTTGAAGATTTCCATTGAGATTTGATGCTTTTAGAGGCTTTTGGATGGAGATTTCTATTAAACATTTGGAGATTTCCATTGAGATTTGATGCTTTTGGAGGCTTTTGGATGGAGATTTCTATTAAAAAAATTGAGATTTCCATTGAGATTTGATGCTTTTGGAGGCTTTTGGATTGAGATTTCCATTAAACATTTGAAGATTTCCATTGAGATTTGATGCTTTTGGAGGCTTTTGGATGGAGATTTGCTTGAGATTCGATTAATATTCCAGATGTCTTCAAAGTTAGGAATTCTTATTTCCTTTTAATTTAATATTGCCAGAGGTCTTCAAAGTTAGGAATTCTTATTTCCTTTTAATTTAATATTGCCAAAGGTCTTCAAAGTTAGGAATTCTTATTTCCTTTTAATTTAATATTGCCAGAGTAGCTCCAGAGGTAGCTAGCTAAGGATTCCTTATTTAATTATCAACTGATTGATTTTCTTATACATTATTTTGGAGGCCCTGGTTGTTGAGGGGGGGGGGGGCCGGGGGGGGGGTTGATTAATCAAGAGTCTACATTAGGGCCTTGAACCACAAAGGGGTGAGCTCAGGGAATATTCCCTTCAACTAGCGTGCTGTGCAATTTGCCAGCCAACCGCTGAACAAGCCGTGCCAGAATGCCAATACTCCCACATGCCAGGAGTGTCCAATCAAGGTGAGACGGCCGCGCTCACAAGTCAAGCCTGTTTGATCCACCCTAGCGACCTTGATGACCTCACGCTGAAGAAGGTCAGGCCGTGAAGATGTCCAGCGGCTGACGAAGCTCTACACCTGTCCCCTCCCTGAAAGCAGAGCAAGAGAACCAAGAAGCTTTCTTTCTATTTCAGGGGAAACAAGAGCACGGGCAAAATGCCAGATTGCGCATCACCCCTGCGGGTGAGCCACTCAGTTACTGAAGCCGAAACACTGCAATTGAAACAGGCTCGCATATGTGCAGACTCGGGACTCACCACACTGGCCCGCAGCCTCGATGGAATCGTACGGCAGCCACGTCACTAGCTGCTCTTCC